AGTTCCATACCAAAAATAAGAAATCTCTCTCCTTATACCTAATCAAGCTTAAAGATAGGAATTAAGAGAAAAGCTAGGCATAATCAAGGTGAGTATGTTATGAGATTTACTGGAATACATACATGCTATATATAAAAAAGTTTTATGCATGAAAGAGTATTGCCATATCTTCTTGTAAAAGTTATGTGATTATTATGTGGCAAAGTACACCTTTTATGTCATGATGCACGTGGTATATGGAAGTTTTTATACATGTTAAGTATAACCATTTAAATATACAACGTACAGGATAAAGAAAGAAGGTACGTCTTGCAAACGGACCTTATTGGGCAGCCCTTTTGTGGACCCGAGGTTAAAGAACCTGTGAGAAGTTGGTTTACTTAACATGTAACCATGAGATCTCAAAGAAATGTTTTTATACATGAAAGCTTATAAGAATTATTTTAACTATTTGAAAAGAATGTTTTATCATGAAAACATAACTACCCACTAAACTTTTAGCTTACGTATTCATGTATGTATCTCAGGAATCAAGGAGTAGGAACAAACTAAAGTGTTGCTATTTTAAGATGTTAGAATATTATAAGTTGTAAATTCCCGCATTTCCGCTGCTGTAATAACTCTATTATAATGAAATAAAAGTTTAAGATACGAAGTTTCTTTCATTCACTTGTACTAAGGGCAATGAACGATACCCCCGGAAACAGGATGTTACACCAATCCCCCAAACAAGGGTTTGGGTTTGCTATATTAGGCCTGTTTGACAAAAAAATAGGTTAGGCGCGGCCGATGTCCGACCCAAGCCCGCAAAATGATCACCTTTACTACATATACACACACAAAAAAACAGCTCGTAACTGAGGTTTTCCTAATTTAGAAATTAGAAAGCTCAAGATATTATCAGAATTATGAAATCAAAATAAGTTTGGAAGAGACAGAATTAATAAACAGTCAGCTAACTTCCTATCACATATACATACCCGTGCTTCCCTCTCTATCAATATACACAAACTCTTATCATTTATCAGAAATCTAAAATCAATATAATGTTGGAAGAGACAGGGTTAATAATACTCATCTCCTTCTGATCACGTTTTCCTCTCTCTATCACATACAGAAAAGTTCAAATCATCAATTTCACAAGGATCTTGACTCCTGATTTATCTTGATCATGTAAAATTAGGATTGTCTGCCGTATCTATTCGGGATATTTAGGTATATAAATTTAAATGAGATTTTAGTTAAATCCATGACCTTCTCATGAGTATAAAACCTTTTTTTCTTTAGTAGGCCGAGGTCATGAATTTAACTAAAAACTCATTAAGGTCATACCCATCTATTCCATTGACCGATATGAGAATATAGAGATCATACATGGGCCTTTAAGCTAACTTGGGGAAAAGTAAAATAAATACAATACTAACTCTACACTACATATGCACACATAACTGAACGATTACGAAGGTTAAGGTAAGTTATGCTCCTCAAGCCGGAGCATAAATAAATGAGTTTTCAACCACAGTGCTTATAGTTTGGTTACAAAGCAGCTATGGGAATATTTTATATGCATAAAGAAAAAGAAACTCAAGGAAGAGGTCAGCTGCAAAGGCTCATAAATCGTTAATCAAACATGACCAAGTGGCTGCAATAGAGAATGCTAAAAGCCATATAACTGACTTTGAGAGGAGATTTTTCTTCAAATTTATAGCACAAAGATTGACAATAATTATAAACCACTGAAGGTAATTGCATATCTAATTTACCGGTGGAAAGTGCAGATATCCCAGCAGCATTCAGATTTCTGAACAGCAAGCCAGCCAAATTAGTAACTACAATCCAGCGTCCAAGTTGCAAGTATAATGCACCACAGCTTCGTTCTTACAAGATTACAGACCTCACAGATTATCATCAGGGCACCTTCTCTGATAAGCATTCTCCAATCCTGTCTGATATATACACGATACAGAATCTATTCAACACATACACCAGAACCGAAGGAACAGCGCTGACAAACTTTTACCTAGTCAATAAATTTTTGACTAGTCAAGTAATCACCGCTCAGTCTGCTCACTTTCTTGTTTCAGTTCATTGCCATCACCATCTTACTCCAAATCATCGTTTTTTCAGTACTTCCACCTAAATATTCGACGTTTTGCAACAATTTTTTTTAGTTCTGGAAGCAAAAAAGTTTCCTCGTTGATAACTTATTTGGAAGAGCAATTATGAGGCAGAAAATTTCTTTGAGGCTCACAATTTGCCTGAGAACATGTTAAAAACAGGGAGCAGTTTGAAGCCAGTTGAAACCAGGAAAGATCAATAGTAGAGCATCGTTTCTTCAGGCCATGGTGGGACCACTGATATTTACAACAAGAGACGCAAAAGTCTAACCCACTACACCTTGAAGGATCTTTCATTTAATTATAATACCATTTATAACACCACAAGCTCGATCCCAAATCAACTACACCATGTGCAGAAGTTATTAGTATTTTACGACCAAAGGAGTTATAGGGGACAAACCAATGGGAGTCGAGCTTTTACAAACTTCTCCACTTTGATTCCTAATGTACTCATCAAGCCAATGCATAAACCCAAATAAAGTCGAACTCCCCAGTATATGCAAGAGTCCAACTCACTAACTACACCTTAAGGGATCACTGATCTAATACTGTTTGTAATGCCCCAAGACTAAACTAGCCAACTGACCCAATAACCTTCAAATCAATAAAAAATCATGATGAAAGTTATTGGTCACAACAATTAAAGGCTTATAACGGGAACATAGTTCATAAACTTAAAACCAATTTGGGACGGGCTGTCACAGAGAACCTTCTCAAGACCATGATATAGATGAACTAGCATTACCAATAATCACCACAAGAACAAAATCCATCTTTGAAGTGATGAAAACGACTAGAATCTCTTACAATAATCTCACGTTGAACAACTTTTGCTATAAGCTTAATGGCAGAATGACAATCGCCGCATACACGAAGATTCTTCATCACTATTATAGTACTTCCTTTAACTGTGCAAACTAATGCAAAGCAAATAGCAAGCCTCTCGCTATGATACAATAAGAGTGTTTCCTTTTGTTCATCTTCAACGTCATGTAAAGCAAACACTTGGTCAGGGACATAACCAAGTCCCTTCATCTTTTCTCCTATCCACTCAAGTTTTCTATATATTTCAGTCGTCATAGGGTGAGACCTATCTCCAGAAAGAAATTCATGCCTATGTCCCTTCAAAGTGACCCAACTGCGTCCTGGCTCTTTCATAATCCGTCTGCTTTTCATCACCCCTCGGATTCTTGAAACATCACTCCATCTACCAGCAAAAGCATACAAATTAGATAAGAGCATATATGCAGGACTACAATCTGGATCTATGTTAAATATTGTTTCTGCAGCTCTTTCAGCCAAGTTTAAGTTTGAGTGCACCTTACAAGCACTAAGCAAAGCTAGCCAAATAGATGTATTTGGTTCCATCGGCATGCTTCTAACTAACTCTTCCGCTTCATTTAACTTCCCCCCACGTCCTAAGATATCCACCATGCATGCATAGTGCTCGAGCTTCACCTTAACAGATCCATACCGAGACACAAAATCAAAAATGCATCTTCCTTTGTCTAACATCCCAGAACGGCTACATGCAGAAAGTAGCCCGGTAAAGGTTATATCATCAGGTGGCACTCCGTGACGTATCATTTGGTTAAAAAGGATTAGTGCCCACATGCCATAACCGTGTTGGGCACATCCAACAATTATCGCGTTCCATGAAACAATGTTCTTCTCGGCTATTTCCTTGAAGATGGACAATCCATCGTAAATATTCCCACACTTGGTATACAATACAATGAGGGAATTTCCTACAAACACATCTGTTTCAAGTCCTAGCTTGACAGCTGCTCCATTAATCTCTTTTCCCCTGTCCAAAGCCTCCACTTCACAACATGAATTTAAGGCACTGGTAAATGAAGATTGATTTGGAGGAACACCAAACCTAAACATGTCAGCAAATACTTCCAATGCTTCCTCATGTTTGCAATTTAAACTGTATCCGGTTAAGAGAGACGTCCACACTACCACAGAACTATGCATTTTCTCCTTAAAAACTTTGCAACAACTATCAATGTCCTTGCAATGTGCATAGAATGTAATTAAGGGAGCCGTAACATATGTGTCTGAGAGGTAACCAAGCTTCACTACATGCCCATGAATCTTGACACCCAGATGTAAATTTCTTACATTTGCACAAGCTGTTATTACAGACGAAAACGTAACTGAAGTAGGCCGAACACCACAAGACAACATCTGCCTGAAGAGAACTAATGCGTCATCGCTCTTCCCAGCCTGATTAAACCCATTAATCATTGAGGACCAGGAAATCACACTTCTGCTTGGCATCTCGTGAAAGAACCTAACAGCATCTTCCACTCTTCCATTGATAAAATATCCATAAATCATCGAATTCCAAGCAGCTTCGTCCTTCAGAGGCATCTCTCTAAACAATTGCTCTGCTTCTTCGGTCCTTCCATGTCTCAACAACCCATTTATCATTGTTGTCCAAGAAACCACATTTCTTTCAGGCATTTCTTCAAATAGCTTAAAACCCGACTCCAGATTCCCACAGTCAAAACACCCCTTGATCATTGAATTCCACGTAACTGCATCCCGAACCGGCATTTCCTCGAACAGCTTCAAGGCATCGTTAAGCCGATTGTTTCTCACAAAAGCTTGAATTGTCTTGGTGCACGAATAAACATCTGGGTACGAGAGTTTGTTCGGAAAGACAAAAGCTTCATTAAGTCTTCGGATTTTTGGGTGATTAAATGTTACAGGGATGTACGCAGCAGTATTTTGTTTGACATAATTCGTGATAACTGTTAAACATCTAGAAGATTTTGCAACCTTTGTGTGTAAGATGGTACGAGAAATATCAAATAATCTTTGTGCAACTTTGAATTTCCTAATCATGGCGCATTTAACTTGGCAGGTGACTAATTACTCCCATATTTCAGTTGGTGAATATCATAATCTCCTGAAAAGTAAACATCAATGATGATATTATACATACTACTTGATTAAAGACCAATGTTTCCCTATCCATTACATGCCTATATATTCTCTGAGAGTTTCTACTGATCAATTTTCAAATATGTCAATATTTATCAGACAATCACTTACTCACAAACTTCCATAGCTTTGGTCCGCTATCCCGATCATGATTTTCCTACCCCCAGAGGGAAATTAAACTGATAATCTTTTCTGGAGATATCCATTTTCCTGGAATTACCAAACGTCTAGCATTCCCTCACGCTTGGCGCCAATGAGGCGGAGATATAGAACAGCATATAAGTTATCATTTTTTTTAACTTTAACATGGAATCAATTACAATTATAGGAAAAATAGGTACAAAGGTCACTCAACTATAGAAAAAGTTTCAAATAGACAGTTGAAAGATGGATAGTGTTCTGAATTGGTATGTTTATTGCATACACAACGTAAAACAAAACAAAGAAATAGAAATTTGTACTAACAACAAGTTCTTCAAAAATTAGGGCGAAGAATCTCGAAGAACAAAAGTGATGAACCCTTATAACATACAATTTGAAAGCTGTAGACATCATTGCTGCTGGTCTCAAAAATCTCTCCCTAGTTCTGGTAAGACAGTTGGATATTCAGTGTTCCATCATCTTTGAGGTTGGAAACGAACAGGGCCACCCGTGGGTCACCCGAAAATGGCCCAACCCGCAATCCCGGTCCGGCTATTTAAATTACACAATATTAACCTTATATAAAGCCCGTTAGGGTGTGTTTGCTACAATGTCGATAGATCGGGACAGAATAAAAGAAAAACTTTTGTTTTACATTTGACAGAACTATTATGTAGAATAGACAAGAATAGAGTAGAACAAAATGGAACATGTCTGTTCTACTCCTACTCCATGAAACACGGTGGAACAAGATGGAAGAGACTTATATTTTACCAATATAAGCTCAAAATAAAATTTAATTCTCTTCTAAAATATCAAATAGATCTTTTTTTTTTTACATTTTATTCATTCTTTAAATTTTATTTATTGTATTTTATGTTTTTTAAACTTTTATTTTACTGTCCTCAAAATATTATTTTTATATGGTTTCTATATTTTTATTAATTTATGTAATTTATTACATCTCAATAATAATAAAAAATGTAGATTATGGATAACATAAAAATTGGAAACTAGATAAACTTTTTATTTTAGTCTCATTTTAATTGTTTTGACGAAAACTTTCTAATGATATATTTTGTTATAAAAAACTACTAATTTTATTATAATTTTATAAATTACATAAATTAATCAAAATATATTAATAACTCATTACGTGTAATTGGTCATTTTACTTGTTCTGTTCCGTTCTGTCCATATCTGTATTATCAAATGTTGAACAGTTGTTATGTCTTATTCTGTCTTGTTTTGTCCTGTCTTGTTCTGTCATCTTTTATCTTATCTAAACACCAAATACACTCTTAAGGCTGTTTGGTTGTCTTGGACTATTTATTTTTTATTAAATGGGCTTATTCATATAGTTATATGAATTGTTTAGTTCTGACTTAATGAAAAAACTATTGGCTACCATTTGATGAAAAGACCCGCCTACTTAAGAAACAGGGCCCGTCCTGAGATTTTGGATGCCCACAGCGGAAAACCAAAAAAATGCCCCTTATGTGTGTATATAAAAACCACAATAAACTATTTGAAGGGGTTTGAAACCTAGTCAATCTAGGCGGCTCATCTTCACGCTAATTTTTTTTTTAAATATAACAAAAATGATGCAGGGGGGACATAAACCAAAACCCCGTGTAACAAAACATAAAATACATTACCATTCACCTAAAACGATGCCTTCTTGCATTTTTTGAAGCAAAAATATCTACATTTTGTCATAACTAATAGTAGCTAAAACAGCTCCTAAAAAGCTTAAGCCTTTATCCTATACTAAGCATCAATCTTAAGCCTTTGTCCTATACTAACCCGTTTCAAAACAGCTCCTAGAAAGCTTCTAAACAACCCTAAAAAGTAAAAAATTTATGGCTTGAGCAGATTGAAAAGAATGCAAAACAAAACAGCACCAAAAACAGCCACAAGTCCCAATCAGTTTAAAAGAAAACCTAAGTAGGCAGGGCAACTTCATTATAATGTTGTTTACAGAAAACCTAAGTAGGCATATATACAGTATTAGTATATTACATATTTAAAACTTAAAAGAAAATCTAAGTAAACAGGTTAGCTTCATCTAGATTATGAATTAATCAAACAAAAATTAGAAACATAAAATAATTAGTAAAGTAAAGTAAATAAGTAAATAAGTAATCAAATAACCCTAAGTTAAGCCCTAACCTCACAACAGTGATGGGCGGAGAGAGAGAGAGGCAGAGAGCGACGAGAGACGGAAAGAGGCAGGCAGCCGCAGAGACGAGAGAGGCAGCCGACGCCCGGCAGCCGCAGACCGACGGCAGTCGGAGTCAATAGTCGTGAGAGGCAGTCAGGCAGAGAGCGAGAGCGAGAGCCATTTGCGACATTGATTTCGATTGAGATTGAGCGACGGAGCGTGAGAGCTAGAGCCTTTTGCGATATTGATTTCGATTGAGATTGAACAACAACGTTAGAGGGAGGAGGGAGGCGGGAGGCGAGAGTCGAGAGGAAGAAACAGGGCGGTAACATTAGATTTTCTTAGGCTTAAAAAAAACTGAACCTATATATACATTGGGCTTTACAAATTTGATGCCCTTGGAGGCTTGGCTTCATGCTGCCCGGGCCGTCGCCCCCGGGCCTATAGCCAGGGCCGGCCCTGTTAAGAAACCATCGATGTTGCACTCTCTTCTCCTTGTTGACATCATCGCCGCTTTCCTCTTTATCCCAACGTCGACGACCACCCTCATCTTTGAACCCTTACTCCCTGCGACTACTTCTGCAGGTTTTGTATCAGTTTTACACCTTCGAGCAAAAAGTGGATTTCTTCTTTAACCCTCTAACCCTAGTTGCTTCGGCACCATAGTTGCAGGTTCTGTATCAATTTCTATCAAAGTTATGGGTGTTCTTCTTTGCAACGTATAACCCACTTATCAAAAAAAAAATCTTCCATTTTAAACTTTCAAAGTAAATAACAACACATTTTTATCAAACAGACAAATTTATCTAGACAGATAAAGTTTATCCATACAAGACTTGATAGAAAAATTGCTAAACAACCATTAAATCCGTCTATGAGTGTTTTTAATTAGGAAGGTAGGTTTTGAAAAACTTAATTTTTAGCATAGAGTTCCTCCTTGAAAGTTATTGAATACAAGACTTTGTATATCATTAAGTCATTACCAAACAGTTATAATAGCAGACCAAATAAGTTGTAAGTCTCGTTAAGCTCATTAACTATTGACAAACAGACCAAAATTACTACCTTACTGATTCCAAATTTTTTTAGCTTATTAAAGCCATCTTTTTGAAAATCGTAACTTTTTGTAAACCAAAACCGTCACCGTTTTGTATCCCTTTTCTAATCCAAGAATCCGAAAATTTGAAACCAGTTACCTATTTGTTGTTATCTAAATCATTCGAACCCACAAGATCTAATCGTATTTTGTCAATTGCGATGACTAAACTAGTCTAGCAGTTGAATTACTCTTGATTATTGGATCAGTCAAAGTGGATTCAGTAGAGCTATATCAATAAACATGAATGGATCCATTGGAGATAAACCATCGATCTAAATTCTAGTTTTATGTTCCATAGTACTCGATTTATGGTAAAATTCTTTGGTCGTAAAAGAGTCTCGAAGATTGTCGATTTTGCCAAAACGTCATCAATGGTCATTTTCGGTAAAACCGAGTGTTTGAAACTCGAAATTTAGACCCCCCTAGTTCATGTAAATTCTTGATTCTTACTTTGTCAGTTAACAAAAATGTTATCAAGGTTTTTATGTAAAAAAAAACGAACCAAAACAATGAAAAATTTGGTTTTGGGGCTAAAAATGCGACCGTGGGGCTGAAAATGCGACCGTGGGGCTGCTGGCTCCCGACGGATCGGGTTTTAATTAAACAAATATTCAGGAATTTATAATTATTTATTTATTTGGTCTACTAGTTTTTAAATTACAGAAGTACGTTTTTTATAAATTATTTAAGGGTTGTTTATCAACACTTATCTGGGTAAGTGCTTACGGGTAAAATTTAAAACTATCAATTACTTATCGGGTAAGATTTTAGTCCACCAAAACGGTATCGTATGCAACAACTAACCTGGTAAGCGCTAATCGTGGTAAGAGTCGTCGTCATCACTTACCGGGTAAAACTCTCAGTCCTTGTCTTTGCTCTTACCGGGTAAGATTCTTGGTTCTTGTCATATTGATTCGGTAAGGTAATGTGACTTGGTAAGTGTTTACTCAGATAAGCGTTTGGTAATTGGTCACTAAAACATTATAAATTGTGTAGGTGCAAATTAAAGGAGATAAAGAAGCTTACACTAACATCAGGTGAGTTCCTGTGATTTATAAGACAAAGATGCATGCATAGTATGCAAATATGTTGCAGAAATTAAAATTCAGATTATATATATGCTTTACAGTATTTTCAATTACATGCTTTAGTTTCTGAAAGATATGAGATACGTGCTTTTATGTCGTTGTTTTAATGGATTATGACAAGAATTGTCAGAATAGTATATCGGTATTATCTTGGTCGTGGCTTGGGGAGATAACCCTATAATAGAGTTGTTTATGGGCGGGACAACCCGTTAGATCCAGCCCATCCGGCCCGCTAAAAATACAAGTTTGGATAACCATTATCGAGAAAAAGGACAGGCCTGGATTTATTCGTTAAAATTAGCAGGCAAACATGGGCAATGTAAAAATAAATATGGACAGGCTCGTCCGGCTCGTTTATATTTAATAACTTTTTACCATTAATTATAATTATACTAGTATATTTTAAAATTAAATTATTAAAGTTATAAGATGGTTTTTCTTAAGAACTCAAAAGGCTCTACATTATCTTTGTTAGCATCTTTATGTCAATTAACAATGGATGATTGAAATTGGCGGTAGCATGATGGGGGCATGGAAAGGTATTATTGATTTTATGGAAGTTTGAATTTTGTTTTTCATTTCTTTCTCCACTTGTTGAGATCTATGTGTCACTTTAATTGCTTAAAATT